CCCTATGGGGTGCTGGCCCCACGCCTGGCACTCACTTCCCTCCCTCGTGGCCAGGCCGTGCTCCTCTGTCTCTTCCTGTGGTCTCAGCTCACCATCACATCCTGAGGTCACATTCTGAGGTCACATCCTTAGGTTAGCCCTGCCTGCCGACAGGGCAGGACTCTCCTAGCACCACCCACCTACCACAGTCGCCACTCTTCACTTAGGTATGTGATTCTCTGGGGGCCCGTTTCCCGCCCCTACAGGACCGTTAGCAGCTTGTAGGCCAGGGCTGGGCTGGTTTTCTTCGTCACTGTTTCACCAGAGCTGGGCACATAGTCCCTAATAAATATTTACGAGGTGACTGAATGGATGAATAAATGAATGAAAGTCTTTGCAGCAGGAACCTAGGTGTCAGATGAAGAGGTGGGATAAATGAGGGTGACATGAATTCCAGGTTTTGTTCCAAGGGGGACTAAATCCTGTCTCCGTCTGAGCCGGTGAAACTAGGTAAGCATTGCGTTGCCCTGGTCGACTGTCTCTTCCACTAAGTGATGAGTGCTTAGGAGTGTCCTTATGTTTTCAGGTGTTCGAATCATTTTCTTTGTGTCCCCAGGCCCAGCATCATGCCTGGCACTTCGCTCTCAGACACTGCAGGGTGTATCGAATTGAATTGAGCTGAATTGAGTGAGATGAAAATATGTCGCCCTGAGGTTTACTTCATCTCACCCTCCCCTGTGCCTCCTCTTCCCCCTCCTCTTTCTCCTTTTCCTCCTTCCTCTCCTTTCCTCTGGTGAAGGATTTCTGAGTCTTGAGAACTACTTTAATTGCAATCAAGTGTTTCCAACAGAAAATTGCCCTCTTTTATTTTTGGTTTAACTGGTCTCTTCAAAGAGAAATGGTCTGATTAGTCTTATAATCGTGGCAGTGGTTGGGCACTTCAGATAATGTCCGAGAACCAGTTCAGACATTTTCGGTAGTAATATTTCTCTATTGGCATTGATCTTCGGATAGAATCACAAGGCAGGCACTTTAGAAGTTCATCCAGTTAAGCCCCAGATAATTCCGAGCAGAAATAGCTGGAGGAGGGGATGAAACCTGTCCTCCCGCCCCGAGAGCTGCGGAGCAGCTCTGTCGGAGAGGCAGCAAGGAGCTGCTGGTGATCCCGAGAACACTGCCTCCTTGTTAGGGCCTGGCCCACACCTGTCTCTCCTGTCCATTACTCCACAACGCCATTTGAGAGATGGTCAGGAGGGGATGTAGTGAAAATGGAGTGTTCATAATGAAATTGAGGATCAATGAAATCATAAAAAATCAAAAGCCTAAAGGTAAGTTTGTTATCGATTGGCCATCTCAGAAAATGTAGTTAGTGAGAGATCAGGGCATGCTTCCTACATGTAAAACGGGGGATTTCTCCCTGAGTGCGGCTTGAATGGGGATATAGAATGGGACGGGAAGCGGTCCGCACAGTGGTCCCTCAAAGGTTATGGGGCTGCCCAGGCCAAGTGGCTCAGTTGGTGGGAGCGTCGTCCTATACACCAAAAGGTTGCCGGTTCAATTCCCAGTCAGGACACAGACCTTGTTTGTGAGCTTGATATTTGGTCTGGGAGCTTTGGGGAGGCAACCAATTGAAGTTTCTCTCTCGCATCAATGTTTCTCTCTCTCCTCCTCTCTCCCTTTCTTGCTCTCTAAAATCAATAAAAACATATTCTTGGGTGAGGATTAAAAATAAAAGTTACGGGGCTACTTGGAGAGGGTGCAGTGAAATAGACAGGGCATGGACTTAGAAGTCAGACACATCTGGGTTTTAGACCAACTTTAGCTCTGTGACCTTGACCAAGTAATGACCTACCTCTCTGATCTGTTTTCTTTTTTAATTTGTACAAACTGGTATAAAACCTCTGCCTTGCAGGTTTGTTAGGAAGATTGAATGAGGTCACTTGAGTGAGGGTAGCTCAGTACCTGGCACAGAGCAGGCATGCAGTTATGTTATCCCTTCTTCTCACAGTGTCACTTTGAAGCAGCGGGGCAAGTGCCTGGTCACCTTGAGGTTAGGGCCCCCCTACATTATGCACCCTAGGTGCCTCACTGGGGATCCAGCAGTGCAGCTGGGGCAATGTCAGACCAGGGTTGGGGTATCTCAGGGTAGGTCCCCTCCTCCCAACACTATCTCCTGGGTCATTTTACAAGTTACGTAATTGAGAGCCAGAAAAGCAATATAATTCGACTAAATCATGGAGTAAGTGGCAAGCCTGGAATGTGAATCCAGACCTCCAGACCAAGCCTGCATTTAACTCCTTGCTGCCCAGGCCACGTGACCCTCACACACCCCTTTGCACTGAATGGCCTTTCTGGACACCTAGACATTGTCTCCCCAACAAGTCTGTAAACTCCCTCAAGACAGAAGGGAATGTGTTTCAAATTTTCAGCAACTCCCAAGGCACACAGTACAGGGCTTAATTACAGTCAGGTTGCAAGAAACAAATATCCACCTATTGAGACAAGGAAGGTATTTTCATGGCCTTATCATTTTAATGCAGAGAAATAGTTGTAATACACATTAACCCAGCTGAGTGGGGAAATGCATTAATTTCACAACATGTTCAACCCTTTAAGAAGTTAGCTTCTCGAGCTCCACGGGGATTCTAGAACTTGCACAGGCTCACCCCCACTGTTTTGAAATAAAATTGCATCTCAGAGTGGAGTCCCTCTCCCCACAGGGAAGCGGTGGGTGGAGAGACATGCAGGCGCGGGAGGAGTGTGTAAACCTGGAGCAAAGGACAGAGCAGAACAGTGCGGCTCTTGGTTGGCGAGCAAACAAATCACCTGGGACCCTGTTAAAACGCAGATTCTGACTCGGGAGGCCTGGGTGGGACCTGGGCATCTGCATTTCTAACTAGCTGCCAGGGATGCTCATGCTGCTGGCTCACAGCACACACGTTCAGGTAGCAAGGATGTGGTCACAGGACCAAAGGCTGCGCACACTTGGGCCTTTTCCTCCTTTCCTCTGCAGTCATTTGCCTTTTGACTGTGGGCAATTGTTTCATATATATTTTTTTTTTCTATTGATCAGAGAGGAAGAGAGAGGGAGATAGAAACATCAATGATGAGAGAGCCACTGATCAGATGTCTCCTGCACGCCCCCCCACTAGCAGTGGAGTCCACAACCCAGGCATGTGCCCTGACCAGGAATCGAACCATGACCTCCTTGTTCATGGGTTGACGCTCAACCACTGAGACACACTGGCCAACGTGGGCAAGTTTTTAGTGTCAGACCGGGCAGAGGGAAACCTGCTCGGAAAAGTAGGAAACCAGGATCACCGGCCAGTCCCGCATGTGACTCTCCCCTTTCCTTCTCCCAGATACACTTGATGGGTGACACTTCCATGCGTGAATCACTCGGTTTTACCATCCATGAAATGAACACGTTGGGCTGGGTCTCTGGAGGCCTCATCTGGTCTGACAGTTCTGGGTGGAGGAAATGGCCTGGAAGCATTAGCTTTGCAAATCTGGTGCGAAGGAAGCTCCGTCTGCAGTCGGGCGGTTCTCAGGATCCCCGCTCACTGCTCCTCTTTCATCCCTCTGCAGGGGAGATTTGTGCGTTCAAGATCCACGGCCAGGAGCTGCCCTTTGAGGCCGTGGTGCTCAACAAGACATCGGGAGAGGGCCGGCTCCGTGCCAAGAGCCCTATCGACTGTGAGCTGCAGAAGGAGTACACATTCATCATCCAGGCCTACGACTGTGGCGCGGGGCCCCGGGAGACAGCCTGGAAGAAGTCACACAAGTGAGTCGCCTGACACAGTTCCTGGACACCTCCCCCCCACTCTTGCCCACCATCTCTGTCACACACTACTCTACAGACATGTGTACCCAGTGGCCATACCATGGTGCTCCAGCCTACACAGCTGCTGGCCAGCCAGTTCCCAGGCCACTGCAGGCACTGGTACCAGCCACTTTCTCCACCTGAAATTCTCTACCCTCTGCTCCCCAGGGAGACAGCTCTGTTCCACCCTCAGAACTGAGTGCAGGCGTCACTTCCTTGGGGAAGCCTTCCCTGAGCCAGCCCAGCCTGCAGACTCGTTGAGAGGTTGAGATCTTTCCCTGGGTTCTGCCATGCCACGTGCTTCTCTCTGTCCTAGCAACTCTTCATGTTGGGTTGTAGCTCTCTCCCTAATGGACTTTGACTCAGAGACTAACACAGAGTAAGAGTACTTAAATTCTTACTCATTGGAGTTGTGAGTGAACAGATGACGGATTGATGAGGGAGAGGAGAGACAGTCCAGAGGAATGCTGTTGTCTAGGGTGACAAGGAAGGTCAGCAAATGGGGAGGAGTTGCTCTGGAGTGAATTCATCGCAGGGGATCAGGATGAGGGCGGGTAGAAGGGTCTCCTGAAATGGCAGACAGAACACTCAGACAACAACTGCCTGACTGGCTTGTGGTTTCTCCATTTTCTTGGTGTTGGGGCCTGAGTCAGTGTCCATGGGCGGCGCAGAAGATGGTACAATTGTTTCTTTACCACCATCTCTTCTTGTCTGTGTGTGATTCCAGGGCCGTGGTCCATATCCAGGTGAAGGACGTCAATGAGTTTGCTCCCGCCTTCAAAGAGCCCGCCTACAAGGCTGTGGTGACCGAGGGCAAGATCTACGACAGCATCCTACAGGTGGAGGCCGTCGATGAGGACTGCTCCCCCCAGTACAGCCAGATCTGCAACTATGAAATTGTCACCACCGATGTCCCTTTTGCCATTGACAGAAATGGTGAGTGTCCTGAGAGGACCCCAGTGGGGGCAGGGAAACCCCCCCCCCCCCATTCTGAAGGCCAAGTCGGGGCCTGAATGTACTCAGCAGGCAATGCCTCCCATGCCATCCCTGATCTAGGCTCTATAACCCAGAACTCAGCCCTGCTCTGGAGAGATGGCCTGGCATTATTAGCAGCCCAGCCAGGGATAAAACACCCCCAAGGCACCAACTCAGTGGGTACAGGCTATAGAGCTCACAAGGCCACTCATCTGCACACAGCTTGGTTTTCTGGTGGAATTTTTCAGTTGTCATCTAGATGTGAGTCATGCCCTCAACTCGGCCATGTGTGCGTCCCTTTCTTACATAACCAGTTGTAACATCACCTCACACAACGATCTGTTTCCGGCTCCTAAACAAAGAGAAGGCGGAGATTTCTGAAACACCTTCTAAGCTGTAGATCCATTCATGAATCTTTAAAGGTCTTGTCAAAGTCCTTTGAGAATTTCTACTCTACTGAGAATGAAGGATGGAAGAACCCTCCCACAACATCCCAATCCCAAACTGAACCTACTGAAGTAAAAACAGTCCTAATAAGCCTTGTGGACATTTCTCCATCACCATTAATTAGAAACTCATTGTAGTGTAAACATGACAGCCAGAGGCCAAATCAACTCAGCCCCTTTTAACTGTAATTTTTAATAACTTGATATCAATCAAATGAAAATTATTTGTCAAGTATATTATTTCATTATTAGCACGAGTGTATGGGTTCATGTATATTACCCCCTTTGTTTCAAATAGGATTTAAGTTCTGCACAAAAACTCAAAAGCAGCAAAACCTGAAGTTCGTCCACGCTGTAAATAATTATATTTATTCAGTGCCAAGCACTGTGCTTGGAACTGGGAATGGAGATAGAGTAGAACCTAAAACAGACATGGGCATGTCCACATGGAGCTTAAAATCTAGTGGGGGAAAATTCAAAATAAAAGATACAAAGTCCGGTGGCATAAAGGTTGGTATGCAAAGCATGCCATGAACCAGGGCTGGGCAACGAATTAGCTCTGAGCTTCCTGGTAGCCAAGACCTAGAGGGAAATATCATCCGTCACCTGCTTGCAAGTCTTAAGTGATTCCGATGCTTCTCGATGTTGAGACCAGGGAGAAACCGGCCCCATGTAGTGTCTTCTGCCTCCCAAGAACTGCAGCAGATTCCAGAAGGGAAGGAAGCCAAGGAGAAACCCTCCTCCCTGACCTCCAGTCGTCTGTGATGTGTCTTGTAAGAGGAAATCAGTATTCCTAACAGAAGGCAGTTTCCTTATAAAATGCTAAAATACCTGGACGTTACCAGATGCTGATTGTGTAGGACACAAGATCAATGCATAAAAAAGTAAGCTATAAAATGCTAGACTTCAATTAACGTTTGGTTTGGGACTAAGAAATAGATCATTTCAACTAGTAGAGTGTGTCAGAACTGCTCTCTGATATCTTTTCATACAGATGGGTGGCCCATCCCCACCACACAGACTCGTATCTCACAACACACACACACACACACACACACACACACACACACACACACACACACACTACTTCATATGAACAACTCTTGTATTTTTTCTGTTCCTCCATAACCTGCTGTTGGGTCTATGTCTGCAAAAACTAGCATTTGGGGAGTGACAAGTCCCTCGTGAAGAGCAGGCCTAGAGAAGGAGGTGTCTGTGATGCCTGGTCAAGCTCCCCTTGATCCCCTGCCTTAGTCCTGGAGAGCCACAAGCCAAAGAGAGATGAGATGCAAATTCTTTCATCGGAGGGTAAACTGACCCAGTCATGGAGATAATTACTCACCTTGATGAGCCATTTCACTAACATATGCCAATTTATTTCCCTCACTGTCTCATTAAAAGTGAGTAATGGTTCTTTGCCAGGCCTCTGCCTCCAACATTGGTTTACAACGTAAGATGAAGAGGAGAGTGGGCACTCCCAGGGAGTGTGGGCCCCTGACAATGAGGTTTACAAGAACAGTTCTCCAAGTAATGAAGATAGGACCCAGGGGCAGGCACAGAAACAGCTCCCATTCTAATGAGCTTCCCAATTGGCTTTTATCCATCACTCCTCCAGCGACCTTACAGGCTCCTTGAAGAAGTTCTTTGCATGCATATCAGAAAAAGTACTACTGAGTTGGGGCCCACTCACTGAGACTGCAGGGCTTCAGGTAGATGGCTCCTGCTCCCCTCCTTCCCCCCAACCTGCCAGGCTCTTTGTTTGTGAGGGAAGGAAGGGGAGCAGGGCACAGGGAGGACAGAATACAATGTGGAGTCAGAATGACCTGTCTTAACTGAAGACTCGACCTCTTTCAACAGAAGTCCTCGGCCTCCCTCCCCTGTGAAATCAAAGCAGTAATAGTTCCTGCCTCCCTGTGGGGTTGTGAGGCCTCAGGGAGAGGCAGTGCCCGAAGATAATACCTGCAGGCACATAGGGAGTGCTCGATTCATGGTGCCATGATTACTTAGGTATATACTGGGGGATTGGGACATGACGGTTACTCACTCACTCCCCATGGGTTTCTAGGCTGAAATTATAAACAGATAACTCTGAGCTGGTGACATCACCCACCTCCTGGGAAGTTCTAGATCGATTTCAGATGGCTGCCAGGCCCCCATCTTCTGGCATTTGGCTAGTCTCTCAGAGATCGGTAGGGCCTGAATGCTCATTTCCATTGAACAGATGGAAAAACTGAGTCCCCAAAGCATAAAGCGCTTGCCTGCCAGCACCTATCATGCAGGTGGCAGAGTTGGAACTAGAGCAGCTGTGGGCAAACTACGGCCCTCGGGCCGGATCTAGCCCGTTTGAAATGAATAAAACTAAAAAAAAAAAAAAAAAGACCGTACCCTTTTATGTAATGATGTTTACTTTGAATTTATATTAGTTCACACAAACACTCCATCCATGCTTTTGTTCCAGCCCTCCGGTCCAGTTTAAGAACCCATTGTGGCCCTCGAGTCAAAAAGTTTGCCCACCCCTGGACTAGAGCCTAGGTCCCCCCCCCACCTCCGACCCTGAGTGTTGGTCCCAAGACCTTTCCACCAGTGACATCATTGCTCTCCTTACTGATATTTGACAGGAATGCATGGCAATGGTCTTTAAGTTCAAAAACACAAAATTGCATCTTAATCCTACATCCATCCCTGCGTGTGTGTGTGTGTGTGTGTGTGTGTGTGTGTGATCCTTGACTAGTTGCTTAACCTTGCTCAGATCCTCATCAGTAAAATGGGAATTAAACACGTTGCCCGTGAAAGGGGTGGATAAACAGCAAAGGAGGCATTCACCAGAGCTTTGCCTCAGCCAGACTCTCAACCACGTTTGAGACTGACCACAGAGGGTACAGCAGGGACTCAATGACACCCACTCACCACTGGACAGACTTGTCTGATTGTCAGGGGTGCCTGATCTCAGCCGAGTTCTCTGCCAGCCGCTGCCCACAGAATAATGGGGCTGATGCCTCTAAGTGAAGTGCACCTGGAGTCTGTGTGTTCTTACAGTAAATGAAAACACTTCTTTTCCACCTGAATAGAAGAGTAACACAAGCCCTCGTGGGAATTTTGGAAAGCATAGAAAAGTGTGAAGAAGAAATTCAGTCACGTATAATCCCACCAAAGATAACCACCATTAAACAGTTTTTTAAAGGGTAACCACTATTGACAATTTACCAGTAGTTTTCTGACTTTTTAAATAAAAGTAGGGCCCCACATCTCTTGCTTTTCTTTATCCTCCCATTTTTTGCTTCACATTCGATAACATGGATTTTTTCCATCCTTAAAAGTGCTTCATAATGACCGGTTTCAGTGCTGAACAACACTCCATCTCACGCAGACTCTCATCCTTAGCTCTCCCCTGCAACCAGACATGCTGTTTCTCTCCTATTTTTTCGAGGTAATAAATAATGCTGCGATGGACCTATTTTCACCTGTATTTACAATTTTTCACAATAAACATCTGAAATTTTTCTGGAACCAATTTTTAGATGTGGAATTGCATGCCCCACAGGTATGAATAATTGCAAAGTGACTGGCCCGTATAGCTTTCCAAAGGGTTGTTCCAAGTTCAGGTCCAGGAGAGGGAACGCGCAGGTCACTGTGCTTGCCTCATTGCACCCTCCCCACCTGAGTTTTAAAAAATTGCCGTCACCAACTTGCAAGGTACAGGCTAACTGTTCTTTGAGAGTTAGCTGCCCAGGCTCATGTGGACAGGGGAATAGGCCCCAGGGGCAGCCATTCACCTGAATTAACTGTGGACTCAGCTAACTGAGAAGGCACTACCGGGAGAAATCACTCATATGTGAGGGGGGAAATAGAATTGTAACAGAAGCAAAACGGATGGCTTCTTCCGAGCTATCGAAATGTGCTAAATGGGTGTCTTATCCAGATGTTGCCCCCCCCACAGGATGGGTCCCAACATTGCCTCTCATGGTGACCCACTGCTGCACATCTGTGCTCTGAATCTTATCCTCACAGGCCTGAAGGTGGTGGTGGCAGCGGAGAAAGTAAATTAGTTTCTCAGACAGTTTCATTAAGACAGTTACGGGAGAGGAGCGGCAACAAATTGAGCCCAGGATTGCCGGCCCGTGTGTTTATTTTTCTAGCACAATCAATAGTGTTTGGTCTGCTTAATGTCACACCGATTGTAAACCCTAAGCCTTCCTCTTCTCAGAGACGTATCTTTAGAGAGCCATTTCACTTGAAAGAAAGAGAAAGCTAAAACTTTTTGTTGAAAATTCAATCTGATGTCGCTGAAACCTCCTTCTCACGGTTATATTCCGGTGCCTGCACCTGCAGAATCCCTCCCCTGTGATAACTGTAACCACAAATGAGTTTGTTAAGGGAACCCCGCGGGAGTGTTACCAACCAGATTCTGAGCCGTCCCAGACCTGTACGGGCTCCACGCTGAGACTGAAACAAATATTTGGGGGGACATGAAAGGGATTCTGAATACCAGCCACAAAGCCAAAAATACCTCAAACCCATTTTTATTCAGAGATTTTTGACTGGCTTTGTCAAAGTAAATCTTACTTCAAATCCATGGCTGCAGTTGCATTTTTAAAACAATCCAGAGAAGGGAGCAGAACAAATGATTCGAATGCTTGATCCAATGTCATGGACAAGTTCATCCCTCCTCACCACCGCTCACCTCCACTCCCTCCTCCTCCTCCTCACAGGCACTCACGTTTATTGCACCTGCTCCTAGCCTACAACTGAGTACTGTTTAAGACTAGGTGACTGGTGGATCAACTTGTCTGATCTTTAAAACATTCTGTGACTTTTCTAATTCCCCAGGCTTTCTTGCCTTAGTCCCTGTTATCTCAGTTCACATGAACAATAATCAGTTGGAATGGAAGAAAGCTCATTAGGTAGTTTTCCCTTAGTTTGGATGAAGTCTAAAAATTTGTGTGAGTCAGCCATTCCGTGCTTGTTTATTTGCTTGTTAGTTTGTTTTGCCTTTAATTTCCACTTTCTTAATTTCACTTCTGGTAAAGGATGATGATAGCATTTGAGTTCTAATTTGCTGTCAGCTCCACCATCAGGGAAAAAAATGCAAGAATGAAATCAGTCTCAACAAAGAAAGACTTGCATCTCTTGGAATCAAAAACTAAAAATTATTCAATGCGCATTGGGCCTCTCATTAGTTTCTTGGAACCAAAATGGTATTTTAGCAAAAATCGTCAATTAAAGTTTTGCTTGTTATTTATCAAATATTTATTCCTGAATCATAATCTCACACCCACGGGGATAAAAACACACAAATGGCTCATAAAAAAACGGTTTGGTCTTTCTGGGAGAAGAAAAATGTCTTTGCCACCAGGGCAAGGAATCGGTTATTCTGTGCAGCTTTGCAAGAGAGGTCACACGTTTTCTTATTGATTTTACTTCCTATTTGGTAGCAAAATAATGTGAAAAGAGGCAGTGAACATTCCTGGCAATGAGCCCAGATGTTAAAAAATATGTGTCAGGACATTTCTGAATTCCATCTTTTTTCCCAGAGATTTCATGGCAGATGAGCTCTGGGCCTGACATCAGGGCCGCAGCCGCATGGGGCACTTGGAGAGAGAGTTTTCCAACAACCCATTACTTACACACACAAACCAGTCGGGTCCCAGATGCGTGCTTGGAATTCGAAGCGGCCCTGCCCCGCAGCTGGGGTGGCTCCAGTCAACTGATCCTGGAGTCTGCCACCGAGGAACAAGCAGGCTGCATGTGGAAGCCATGGCCTCCTGTACCCTTGACCTTACCAAGGGATAGGGAAGGGGCCCATTTCATTCTGGTGGAGGTTGGAGGAGTGGGGAAGGGATGTGGGAGAACTGCAGCGTGCTCAACGTGATCTGAAACAATGCTGAATGTCTCTGTGTCCTCAGGCAACATCAGGAACACGGAGAAGCTGAGCTATGACAAGCAGCACCAGTACGAGATCCTGGTGACCGCCTACGACTGTGGCCAGAAGCCTGCCGCTCAGGACACCCTGGTGCAGGTGGACGTGAAGCCAGTGTGCAAGCCTGGCTGGCAAGGTGGGCCTGCTTTTGTCAGTCCTCTGAGGAAAGGCAGCTGGACCTGGTGCATGGAAGCTGCCAGACCTATCCTCAAATCGGCATGACTCGGGGGTAGAGGGATTTTTAAAGTGCAGTCACTCTGCTGCAGGAAATAGAGTAGCTGGTTTATTCTGACAGCTCCTAGGGTTATAGTATCTCCGTTTCACAGGTGAGAATGCCCGAGGTAACTTGTCTAAGGTCACATGCTCCGTTTGTCCAATGTGCTCTTTCTCAGACCTCATGGCATCTTTGGATCAATAGTAATTACCCACGGTGCTCAGCAGGTGGCCAGCGAGCCTGTTCACTTTATCGCAGAGTGCTGCGTCGGGCTGGTGCATTTCAAATATGGCCTCATTACTCAACACCCCGGGCAGGGGGGGCTTGCCCAGAGGGCGTCCAGGCAGAGGCTGGAGAGCCACACCCGGCCTCTAGGCTAAGGGGTTTCTAAAACGTTGGCTCTGGGAATGGCGAGACAATGCCTCGGATGGAGGATCCGCTCTGTGCTCACTTAGATCTTTAGGGTGCAGGGATAGAACGAAGGTCTGGGTTACCCTTCGATGGCGGAGGTTTGTTACCAAGCAAAGGGGAAACCAGGAGGCAAGGCCAGCTGCGTAGATGGTCTTACAGAGAATTGGGTGGATGGTGCATGGAATAAAGACGGCTCTAGCAGTGACATTGATGGTTCCGGTGGCAGAGCAGTTACCTCTGGGCTACTGTTTTGGCTGCTTGACTGCTCCTGTTTCCGCTTCGTGTGTTGATGTTATGGGAGGCTACTGCTTATCCATGGCTCACGGTGCTTCGTGGAGTCCTCCACTCTGTGGCTGCTGTTTATTGCCTTCCCTAGGTGTGTCTTTAAGCTTCAGGCCCGTTATATTTTCTCTCTCTCCCTCTCTCTTTCTCTTTCTCTCTCTCTCTCTCTCTC